TAACTACTTTCACCTGTTTTGAACCAAAACAAGGCTAAACTAATCTTCGTCAGTACAAATACAATGATTCGGGATAATTTGAAGTAGGAATAAGTCATGTGTACCACATGCTTAACCAAATAATACGCAGCATAATTACTGTATGACGTTCAGAACAACATATATGACGAAGTATTTGAAACAGATCATTATGATGTAAAAAGTACATTATTGAAGAAAAGGAAATAAGTTAACTTATAGATACAGAATAGTAGGTTACGGACTGATTCTTTAAAAACAATCGACTTCAATATATGTGTTTGCCAAGACAGGTGAGCTTAGGTAATTAGACTTGTCATCCATTGGTATATCATGTAAAAACTACTGACTTATTTAAAATAATGGTACGTATTTTAAGATAAGTCACGAGTTAAAAATAAGTCTCTCAAAAATCGTGTTAGTGCAGAGTAGAGTCTACAACTTGCGGGATTATTCCGATAAACATTCTTGTTCCTAGACCAATTCAACCACGCACGCCAGCGTTTCCGAGCCATCTCATAGCTGTTTAAGACAGAGCTGTCGCTCTTTGTAGAATATGTTGAAAAGCGTAGTGCTAGCATATCGTGCCGTGTTCTTCAACTATACTTCCCAAGCTTTCATATTAGATTGGCAGGAAGTGATTGCAAGGTCGATTGCAGTGAATTCATAATTATTGTTAGAAGTAGGGAGTGGTTGATACAACCCCACGGAATGACAAAAATGTTGAAACCGATCAACTTCTGAAGTTTACGTTTTTACAACGAAATTCTCTGGTATAGTTTTTATATTGTTGCTGGGTTGCCGTGATAAATTATGCTATTACGAAGTTCAGACCAGATTTTATGAAATTCATTTGCCATCCTGGAATCTATAATTGATTGTAATTTTTCTTTTGTTTTTCAGTTCTTAGATCTGAGTCATTTATATGTACTACTTAATACTAAATAAAGATTTAGTTATTTATAAGATTTACACAGCTTACATGAGGTATGCATGTACTATGCGTAGGGTTTGAAGTATATTTATTCCAGACAGTCGTGGCAAGGTTAGAAAGCGTAAGTTTAATATTAAGAACAGTTTTCAGTATTTTTTACTAAAATAACATAAAGGGGATAATTGCATACAATGATCTTCAAAACCTTTCAAGAATTTGGTAGATCGTGCAATCTTTCTTCAGTAACTAGCACCACTTATATATCAAAATGATCATGTTGGCCACCTCAGACACCACATACACGACATTTCTAATATTGCAAGTTTCTCTCATTACGCGATCAAAAGAGTGAGCAACCCGTTTACTTTTGTTATTTTCAAGAGAAAATATGTTATCTTCTATTTATCTGGCAGATAGTCTTTAAATTGCAGAAAACTTAGAATTCTTTACATATTTTTAGTGTACTGCACTTGAGATTGGAGTTTGATATATATTGGATTTAGATAAACAAGCTTTTGAATGGCATGCGATACCATTAAATTTATTTAAGAATTATTTATGGAGCTCCCAATTTATCAACTTACCTGCACTAAATTTTTCCAAACATTAATTGTTTCGATATTCCTTTTTCTTTTGAAATGTATTATATATTACGGTAGAACAACCGTAGTGATCGAGTCAACACTTCACACCAATTAGCCTAGCCTTATAATGGGCATTGAAAGGCTTGTGTTATGGGCTAACGCCTAGAAATGCATAATGATGATGCATAGATCAGAATTTATTAGATTAGATTTTAAATTCATATTTGTTAACAACCAAAACTTAGGCACAGATGCTCGTTTTTATCATACAATGATTTGCCCTTAAAAACCACGTACATTGCACTTCCCAACGGGGTACGTCAACATTCGATGTTCGATCTTTATAGTCTATTAAGAGGGTAGTTTATAGCCGATACTTATGTGTGTACGCAAGCCATGAGCGGGTATGTTGCGTTGCGTTGATGTATGGATTTCCACGCGATGGAAGTAATGAATTATGTCAAGCGACATTTATTATATTTTCAATTTACTTATTTTTAATGTTTCGAATCGTTTACACTTTTACAGACCCCATGGTCACAAAAATAAATTATGAATCACGAATAGACTACATGTTATATTATGCATAATTTGCTCCACTCGAGTGTCGTATGTTACCGGTGCTTACATAATAGTACGAACTCCATAAGCGAACATGTTCTAAGGAGAACATATATTGATATTCACGTAATGGAAATAATATATTATGTGTGATATGACCCCACAAGGGCGATTATAAAATTGATGAGGATATTTCTCTATCAACGATGTTTTGTTACTGATACTTGTATGTGTAGGCAAGCCAAGGAAGGCAAGTCCTTATTCATAGTGAGTTCCATACGGAGGAAGCAAATTATACATAATATGCCCCCGCGAGGGGCGGTCATCAGAGTTTTGGTAATATGCACGCCGCGAAGGTGGTTTGCTACCGGTACTCGTATATGTAAGCAAGGCATTAGAGGTATTTCATAAGGTTTCACGTAGTGGAAACAAATTGTATATAATATGCACCCCGCGAGGGTGATTTGCTACCGGTACTCGTATATGTAGGCAAGGCATTAGAGGCATTTAATAAGATTCCACGTAGTGGAAACAAATTATATATAATATGCACCCCGCGAGGGTGATTTGCCACCGGTACTCATATGTGTAGGTACGCCATGGGAGGGCATGTCCTGACACGCCTTGGGCTTCATGAGATGAAGCTTATGAATATCACTTGCCTCTGCGCGAGTTGCTCATTAGGTTGATGAAATGTCAATCACTTAAATCCATGACAAATACTTAATACGATAAAAACAACCTCATAGATGGTATCTTATTAAGTGGTGCTTCATCACAGAGATCACTAACTTCTTGCAGTGCTTTAATTTTTACTTTTTAGCTTTGTGCTAGCTGTAAAAGACCTAAGAAACGATTCTGTTATCTTATCACTTTCGTTATTAAAATCAACTGAGCAGGTGCCTTCCCGCAATGATTCATTTTTATTTTAGAAATATGCAATTGCTGAAAGAAAATTAATGTCAGGAACGTGATATATCATAAATTATCATCATACTTCTTTACCTCGTTGTTTGTTTCCAGGTTGATAAAGCCTGGACTATGATTATAATTTTTAATTTACATCAGCATATCATTTAAAATAAACGTTGAATGTCTTTCGAACAGAGCGTTCCTTTATCCTAGTTTAGTCACACGACTCATATGAGAATTTTTATTACGTGTATTGGTCAGTAAAAATGTTAGAACTTTTTATTCATAAGCCTTTAGATATTGATAGCTGGCCATGTTCAGAAAACGGCATATCGACATTAGAAATACCTTATTAAGATTGTACATAGTTCACTTACCCCTCGAACAATCTTTTAATAAAAGGGCTGGAATATCAAGCTCGCTTATTTTTCTTGAGGCAGCGATGCCGCTTTCGTTATACCAGAAGACGACAAATTCAACCAATTATTACTGCAGTGTTCGAAGAACAATAATGACTAGATCCACACATCTTGCTGTTTTTGCCAATAATGCCAGTCAGTCGGCGGCTGAAACGTCAATATTGACCGATATTCCTTCACTCTAAACTGTAAAATGATTTAATTAAGTATTTTGTAATACATTTACCAATTTACTTTCACATTTACTTATACGGAAACATTAATTGAATACCAAGAGAAAACACTCTTAAAATAGTTTTTATGATAAACGACCAAGACAGACGTAAAGAATTGCAAAATTTACTTTAATGTAGGTACTTTAATTTTTTAAACAAAACGCACCTTGAATTGCCGTTAAGTTTTACTCACGGCTTATTATTACTTTTTCAAACAAGCGTATTGCACAATTTAACATATTTGTTTTAAATATCCCTTATCACAAGGGCTGCAAAAACTATCAAAAAGAATAATAGTTTTACTTACGATTCCTTCACTTTTGACACGTAAAGTACCTATTTGGAATAACACGAACGGCAAAAACCGTTAAAATAAAATAGTTTTACTTACAGTTTTATCACTTAATAATAATAAAACCTTTAAAATCTCACAACGATCGCTCAGATTGAGGACGTGTTGCTTCGACGGGAGTCAGAACGCCAATGAGTTAATATGGCGCTGTCAAAACTTAGGAAAACAAAAATGGCCGCGCTTCTGCCAGGTGTCGCCACTGGACCGGATACAAGGTGAATAAAAGTACGGAAACTGATGGTAATTCGACGGGAAACGGAAGTGCTATCTCAATATAAAGCTTTCAGTGACGGTCAAGTAGTTTAATATAATATCTGGTTCATGATTTGGAACTCGGTGGGATCAAGAATAAATTTCATGCAACGCTGTAAAAAACGAAGCAGAGGTTGCGTAATATTAAATACTATGCTTGAAAGCAGGTCAATAGTACAAACTTTTACTAATAAAAATCATGGCTAGTGTTTTTACTAGTAAAAGCCGGAACATAAAAAAAAATAAACAAATATATTTTTATAATATACTTTAATAAATATTAAATATATTTGAATGAACTAGTATATTTATCGATGTGATATAGTACAACTACTTTTTAAAATTTTATCATTTTTAAAAGGGTAACTGTATTTGCTTTATGGCAACATTTAGCACTAGTCACGTCATTTCATAGCGCTAGTGTGAGTTTGCGTTGCGTGCGTTCGGATTTGTGAGTGCTTTTCTTCATGTTTGTGTGTTTTTCTGACGCCGTTTTTGTGGATTGTCTGTTATCTGATTATCTTCCCCTTTTGGATTTCATCACTAAAACTCTTCAAACTGTCGTTCAAAGGTTTGTAATGTGTATCTTCACAAGATATTAATTCAAAGCTCTCATGCATGTTAACTCGTTACTGTTGTAAAATTTGCAAAACCCTGTCAGGCAGGCGTTGCCTTTTGGTTGTAAACCTATTTAATTTTTATATTTCATAATCCCATCGATATCTTTCGTGTTATCTACTAGCCGGTTATCTAGTGATTTGAAGAAATGGCAGTGTTTTTATCTAGTGCGTGGGCTAATCGGCGGCAACAGACAGTTGTACCTAGTGTGTACCTAGGAGCGACCTAACTCAGTCGGCTTTCTGTTGCCGGTTCGTAAGCTAGTGTTCGCGCGTTGTTATAAGCATGAAATTATAATGGTTGGCTTGTGTTGTCTGTACCTATGTCTGTCATGTAGTGTTTGTGGACTGTGCTAAGTGATTATTTTGTTGCAGGCCGGAAGAATGCTAAAATTTATTCGTGGCAAAGGCCAGCAGCCCTCTGCAGAGAGGCAGAAACTACAAAATGAACTATTCGCATTTCGCAAGGTAAGTTTTGAATAATGTTCCAGGCATTTTTATCATAGTCAACAGTTCAATGATCTATGTATACCTGAAAGTTTCAACTTAAAAAGTTTAAGTCAATTTAACTCATACCTAATCAAAACTTGATGAGAACTAAGTTATATTGATTATATTACTGTTAAAATTGTAGTCCTATTGTGTTAATATATTTAATATTTATGCAACAGACTTTTTTATGTAATTTGGACTATTGAAAATTTTATAGTATCTTTGTAAGAAAACCATAACAACAATGATGCCCAAAACTTGTTATTTTTTTCTTTTATATTAATGGACACAATCATTTAGTGAAATACTTTTGAAACAGTTATGTCTGATTTATTATTTTTTTACATTATTCTTGACATTTCAAATCCTTTACCAGCTTCGTTATAATGATAGTCTTTCATCCTATTTCAAAACTCTTTTTAACCTTAATTTTAAGTATGCGAAACATAGCTTTAGAAACTCAATCAAGGACTAAGTAATAAATATTTTTTCTAAGGTGTTTTAAGCCAAATTTTATGTTTGCTTGAAGCAATCTTATCTAATGCCAAGCCCTACAGTATTTACTTTAAAGATTATAGGTATGTGTTTTCGTACACTTAATCAGGCCATGGTCGTGGTAAATGGGAGTTTCTGAACACTATCTTGATTCATTAAACCTAATTTTAGAACAAGACTACTATTGCTTTAATTGTAATGACAATGAGCTCATTAATATATTACATAGAGTCTGAATGTATGATGATTGATTATTGCTGGAGGTATTTCAAATATTTCAATTGTAAATATGTTATTATTTGAACAAATAAATATTGTAAACACACAGTTTACTACAAGAGTCCAGTTCAGTCCATTCCATACTTTAATCCAGTTCCATAAATAAAAGATAAACCTCGCAAAACATGTTAAATGGATTTATTTAAGCTAAATATAACTCTAGTTTTTTGAGAATCCCATACCAACTTCATTTTTTCCAGGCCACAAACTATTCTCTGTCACAATCCAGGTTGGGAACTGTATGCATACCAAATTTCGTCTAAATCCATTCAGTTGTTTTTGCATGATTCAGTAATAAACACACAATATTAGTAGGATAACAATATTAAATACACTGTTAGAATTTGAATTCTTTAATAATACATCATGTTATATTAAGGAGATGGATTAAAGAACTAGTAGAACTTTTGCTAACAACAAACATTTCTCAATTGTCACAGTTGATCACTTCAAATACTTTATCTTTTATTACTGAGTCAATTACAAACTGCCAATTGGTAAACTCCACTACTATGATGATGGCATCATATAAAATAGATTGGTTCAAGGGCACCACGCAACTTCAATCTGGATTCCATCTCAATCAATGTGTGATGGGAATAATTACATAGTCATTCTAACTGGTTTAATATTGAGGTAAATGAACTTAAAAACTCTTATACTATTGCAGTAAGCAATTAGTCTAGTCTTGTTTGACCAGATTTTTTCTACTTTTAAGTAATATATGATAGAATCTATAAGTTTACATTTACATGCTATGGAAATTTTTATCCATCTATTTTTTATAGATAGACCACTTGGTAAGTTTTGTTCTCATGATAGCATATTATAATATAAATATCAGCCAGGGTCATTATTATTTAGAAAATATTTTCTTTATCAGTATTGCCAACATTATGGCAGTTATTTATATTTTTTACTAAAATCATTCTATATACTTCTTAATTAGTAATTATTAATTGCAGGCATTTTCTTAACTGCTTGTTTAAGGCCCCTATTAATAGATCGCTGTCAACTCTTAGAGCGATCTTGAGAACAATCTTGAAATGCTGTTTTGTATGAAAACTGTATCTCAAGAAATCTAGTGTCAGAATGGAGAGTGCTCTATTAATACGGATCTTATTATGATTGTTTTACAGCATCAACCATCAGCGATTTCCATTTAATAATGATTAAAAAGTTATTGAGTACTTTGTTACATTATAATATGTAATATATAACTTTAGCTACATGGTAGCAGAAACCCTATTGCTTAGAGTAGCTAGGAACAGGTCTGAGTAGAAAAAGCTGGAGGAGAACTATGTATCAGCAGGACACGCTGATGTGGTTAATGATCTCTATGACTTAGCTTTTACGCATTTTAAATGTAATATCAGCAATAAAGGCTATTGAATTTGAAAGTGGTTGCTGTTCCATTATAATATGTAATATGTATATAATTTTAGCTACAGATAGTGATTGCTCATACAAACTTGGTATCATATGGTTTACCACTATCGTGTGTTGCTGATAAGTTATGATAATGTTGATAGTATTTAATCAATATTTCTTGCAATACCATAAACAGGGATTCATGTGCATTACATTTGCTGTTTATTTATTATTTTCACCTTTTCCATTTTAAACTTTTGGTGAACCTACCCCATATTGTTTAATAATATGTATGTAGTACTGTTTAGTACTAAGCAAGTCATAGAAAATAACAAAACTTATTAAATTAGAGTATAGTATACTTAATATATAAAATTCTTGTGTCACAGTGTTTGTAACAATACTCCTCCGAAATGACTTGACCAATTATTATGAAATGTGTGTGCATGTTCAGATGGTCTGAGAATAGGACGTAAACTACTTTTCGTAACCATAAGTGATAAGGGTGGTCCACCCCAAATTTTTCTAGCAGAAGTTTTGTTTTTTTTTTTATTATTCAGCATTAAGAATTACATATAACCCTAAGTTTACGGCCTTTTATCACCAACACCCAATTTTATGTCCGTACGAAGTTCGCTGGGTCAGCTAGTATACAACTGCTTAGTTGTTTCAAAGTTTTAGCTCTCTGCATAAAACCTTAAATTAAAAGATGTAAGTGCTTGCCTTGGAAGTGAGCGCGTTTTATATTTAAGTTCTCTCAAAATTTAGTTCCTGCTAATGACATGACGCATAAGTGCTGTGTTGTGTTGAATTTAATCGCGGAACTTTACATACAATATAACGAGTACTTAAACAGTAACATCATTAAAGCTCCCTCCAATATGAATAAGCCCTTATCTTAACGAAAAACCTTATCATTCATTTGTTTTTTATAAACACGTACCTCATACTCATGAAAAACCTACATGCTAAAGTATGTACTATACCAGGTACAGTGCAATCTCGATATAACAAATCGGTAAAGAACAAGCAAATATTCGTTATATCAAGTAATTCGTTAAACTAGGTTTTGTTGTATTGAGGTTAGGTTGGTCTAAAACTTTGTTATAAAGAGATGAAAAAATAGTTTTTGTCGCGACATGAATCACATATAATGAGATTAAGGATTATATACTGGTGTGAACGTTATATAAAGGTTTTGGGTTGACAAAATTCGTTAATTAGACGTATTTACACCTTTTTTAATAATGCAACAGTCGTTATAAAGAGATTTTTCGCAAAAAATGATCGTAATGTAAAGGTATATTTTACATTTACTCATATGGACAATTCTAGGGGATTACGAAGAATTTGTTAAATCGAGGAGGTCGTGATATTGAGGTACGTTATATTAAGGTTGCACTGTATACAGGGTCGGAGATATTGTGATTTATTTCATTGCAATAAGCATTAATAACTAACTAATTTTTCCCTAATAGTTCACTTATGTTATGATTACGGACATACATGTAATATAATCTGCAAAGATTGTCGATGGTGTTTTGCCCCTGGAAATTCAACCTGTTACGTGACATTATAGTAGTTATTTGACTCACTATATCTCAGATGTACCCACTTAGAATACAAATAGTATCATAATGAATCATTTTATAGCATAGACAAGTTTGAGACTGTTAATATTTTGCCCATTAATATTTAAATGGACTGGTTTAAAGAATTCCTAAAATACCTACCTAAATTGTAGTTGATATAATTCCTCATTTCCAAAGAAAATTGAATGCCATTGATTCAATTCTCAGTATAGAGAATGTGATATTACGATATACTCCACGTGTTTGTGTAATTGTTTTCGGTAATATAAAATTGACTTTAACTTGATATCAAGTATACATCTGATGTGTCAAATTAATTTATTGTTCCCTTAGATTCACTGGCTGTTTCCCTGAAGGCACTAATAAAAATTCTCTCTGCAGGTTATTCCTAACAGAGCTCTATAATTTTTGTTTAAAAAATCGAGACTAGTCTTATTTATATTGCGTAATATGCTTTTTTTATATAATATGTACTAGCGGCCGCCCGCGACTTCGTACGCGTGGAGTTAGAAATAAAAGTTCACTGCTCGTTCCCCGTAGGTGATAGCGTGATAATATGTAGCATATATGTTGACCCGACTTCTTAATAATATTCGTGCCAAATTTGAAGTAAATCCATGCAGTACTTTTTGAGTTTATCCCGGACATACATACAGACAAACAGACAAAAATTCTAAAAACTATATTTTTGGCTTCGGTATCGGTTGCAGATCACAAACCAAGTAGTCTAAAAAAAATATTCAATGTTAGTTTTGACTTTCCTACCATTTTATTATATGTATAGATTATAAGGGACATATAAGCTGACGGCTCACCTAATGGTATCACCGTTGCCCATAGACGTCTGCAAAACCAGGAGTATCACAAATACGGAAGAGCACGCTTTTTTTTTTGAAGGTTTTCGGGTCGTATTGGTCCGGAAATACTACTAGCAACAATGTATTCCACAGTTTTGTCATACGTGTTAAAAAATGACAAAGTCGTACGGTTGTGTGTGGATAGTCACGCATAAAAATGATGATATTGCTGCATCAATGCTCATATCACTTCTCCTCCTTGGTGACTTTTCTCAGATCGAACAGTCTGGAATAACATTCTAATTTACTATTAACAATAACGATCAGTTTTATCATATTCTCAAGTACATTCTCAAACAATGTTCAGCCATAGAGTGCAATAAAAGACCGCACCCAGCCTCGCCCGCGCCGTTGTTTTTATCAATATCCTGCTGATATTACG